TTTTCTAAAATATATGTAATATGTGCTCAACAACGTGAGCATAATGATTTTCTGTCACCAATACTGAAAAATAAGTGTTTGAACCTAAGCTATTATATCTTTGTGGTATAATTTTGAACACAACAATCCTTTTAACTCATTCTCATAAATTAACCCTAAACATATTTGCTTGGGAATAAACTTTATGGAACTTGTTAAATAGACAAGCATTGGACTAGGCTACACTCCTTGTATGCATAGTCTCTATGCAAGCCACTGCAACAAGAGCTCCATAACTGCCTGCCATTTGACAGGTAGTGATAATTTGGTTTAATAGTAAGTTAGGATTTGCATTCTATAACACTGTTGTGATTTTTAAACAGGGAGAGAGTAACAGTTTAAAATCTAAAAAGAGAAAAATATAGGGTTAAAATTGCAAAACAGTTATAGAGGTAGAGGAGAAAAAAAAATGGCCAACAATTTAGATACAGCCACACCTTATTTAACCAAATATTTGTGTGATGTCACCATTTCACAAATGATTCAGTCATAGATCACAGACCTGCTGAACTAAGTAATGCATGGCAACATTATATAGGAGCTGGTTTGAATCATAATGCATCAAGGAGGAAGAACTTAATAGGACATGGCATGGCATGGATGTGCTGGATGAAATGGGGATTGTTTACTTTGATAGCCCTTTCTGCCAAAGGAGAAGCTGTTATTAATTCTGACAACATGGATATAATGAATTCAATGAGTGGAAGTGTAGTTTTCCAGAGAACAAAAGCAGATTTAGGAAAATAGATCCCCTAAATGTAGTTGAACTGCAGTTCCCATCAGCACTTCCCAATGTAGCCAAAGGCAAAGCGGATGGAAAAGTATGACATAACTACATCTGGAGAGTCAAAGGCTGCCCACCGATAACAGTTACTTACAAAGGCAGAAATATTGTCCATCAATTTTTTGTATGGAAATAATTTTGGTAAACCATAGTTTTGTCTTTGTCTATGTGCTACAACCCAGTGTTTGTTTCAATGGGACGGGGAAAAAACAACTATACTATTACAAGTTTGAGTACCCTTTATCCAAAACGCTCTGGTAGGGAATGGAGAAAAATTTGGATTTTTTCCAGATTTTTTAATATCTGCATTTGCATGGGACCCAAACCAAAATGCAATAATTCATTTATGCCTCATAAACATGTTATACATGTAGCTGCAAGGAAATTTTAAGATTTTTTTACATTTGGTTTTCAAACAGTATTTGTGTACATTACTCTACTGAAAAGCAAAGCTGTCAATCTCTCAACCACTCATTTGAACCATTTTGGTTTTCAGGATTCTGGACAAGGGATGCTCAACCTTTATTTCCCAAATTGCCATTTTATGTTGATATGTTTCCTTTCCTTCATGTACCCAAGTACAAAAAACAAACCCATTCAATTTTGTATTGTTGACGTCTTTCATGGCTGGAATCACTGGGCTGTTGTAGGTTTTTCAGGCTATATGGCCATGTTCTAGAAGCATTCTCTCCTGACGTTTAACTTGCATCTATGACAGGAATCCTCAGAGGTTGTGAGGTCACACAGCCTCTGAGGATGCCCTGCCATAGATGCAGGCGAAACATCAGGAGAGAATGCTTCTAGAACATAGTCATATAGCCTGAAAAACCTACAACAACCCATTCAATTTTGTTAGCAAACCAGGAAGAGCAGCCTACCAGTTAACCTTGTAGGTATATTGTAGGAACAGACTTTTACCACATACTTAACAGAGACAAAAGCTGTAACAGAAAGGCATTTTATTTTTCCCATGTATTTAATGTTTAAATAATGATTTTTAACAAAAGTAAAGCAACCACAGTCTCCTGGGATGCATAAGAATTTTCTGCACATCAAGCCATCACAAAGGCAGAGGGGAGCTGCCTTAGAATTAACCACAGAAGGTTTGAATGTACATAAACCCACAAGCATTGCACTGGACGCAAGTCTTCTACAGTACACACAGAATACTTTCTAGATGGATTAATAGTTAGAAAAATAAAAGCTTTAAAGTTCTCATAGTGGCAACTTTACTGGGTTGGATACCCATTCCCCTCCTGAACAATGAAATATGAACTGTGAGGGTCCATATGTTAAAACTGTGTTAATGGGCAAAGTACGTAATTGTTGGACATACTCTATTGTAATGCATCGTCTTCACAAGAAGGTTCATTCCTACTTTGCACAGAATGGCATCTTTCTGAACCATAAATTACACATATTTACAAGTTGTGCTAACACTAACATCTGAACACATTTAAACGAAGTAGGGCACCAAAAGGCTTCATGCTAAAGAATGCTTTTTCTGAGGTATGGAGGGACAGAGATCACATTCTTGACCCCTGAACGTATTTGGAATATTAATGGCAAGGTGACAGGAACATTACACCACTCAACAAAACAGCCAAGCTCACTTGCCGGGTTGAAAAATTAAGGAAAGCAGCAATAGTGGTCCAACTATCTTTTGCCAAACAAAACATTGCTGTATTGATTAGGGTTGTCATCTTCAAAAAGATGACTGGAATGACCAAGGAGAAGAAAAAGGATGAACATTGGCAACAAGGAAAGTATACATTATTAGGTCTGCTAGTGGAAGTTTATATTATGAAATATACAATTATCATAATGTACCTAAGTAGTTGGAAATAGTGGAAGCAAAAGAAGGAACTAACTGCCTAATGTAGGTGTTTTCTATCCTCTCCACTCCCAAAATCTGAAGCATCTGAGGTGGAAACTCCTCGGTCTTAGAAATGGTTCATTCCTGAAACCCAGAGATAATTTGCCAGAAAGGATTTTATCCACCTCCTTCCAATTCTCCTTGGACCAGTAAACTCGTAAAGTAATGTAAGGAGGATTTAATGATGGATGGGAAAAGGGAGTCCCAGTATAACTTGAAAAGTCCCTTGACAATATCTATAGAGAAATAACTAGATTCCTGTTCATACTTCAGCTTGAGATCTGATCATAAAGAATCCTAACCAAAGAACTAAAGCAGAGTGACTGCACAGGAGAAGAACAGACAGGAGAAGGGTGATCTGCATGGATGGAAACTCCTGCCTACACCTCACCAGGTTGCAGCAACATAACAGGAGCAGCTCCTGGCAGAGTCATAGGCTATAAGGCAATCCTTTACTTTTATACCACAAATGTGTCAAATTTTTAATTAATGGGAAATACAGTTTAAGGTTCAGGAACCAACCTATTGTTCTAGCTTCTTGAGGGGAAAAATACTACACCGCAACATGATAAAACACATCATTACACAATAATTTTGTTAGGCCAGTTCACTTGCCATGGTGGAGCCCTGGGTGGCAGAATGGGTTAAACCCTTGTGCCAGCAGGACTGCTGAGTGATAGTGGCTCTAATCTGGAGAGAGCGGGTTGAGCTCCCTCTGTCAGCTCCAGTTCCCCATGTGGAGACATGAGAGAAGACTCTCACAAAAATGGTAAAACATCAAACAAGTGGGCATCCCCTGGGCAACATCCTTGCAGACAGCCAGTTCTCCCACACCAGAACCAACTTGCAGTTTCTCAAGTTGCTCCTGACACACACACAAAATTGCCATGGCCATTTCTCTAAATCTCGTTTGATACGGGCCATAAACTACACTACATTTGATATTGTGGAAGACCAAGGTGTTTTGCCACATCAAGAAAACTTAAAAGCAACTAGCACTTTCAGTTGTGGTCCTCAACTCATTAATTTCCCAGCTGCAATTTTGGTAAGATTATTTTAAAAATCCATGATCCAACCAAATCTATGATAAAATGACTGAACAGCAGCAATAGTCCTTAATGAATCTAATTCTATACAACAAATCTGAGGTAACCTGTGGCTTTCCCTATGTAACAGCTGTCTTGTTCTGGTACTGAGAATTCTCTAGGATGACTTTTCAGCCTCACTGATAAGACACCCAATATTAGGGATGTCGAGCAGATAAGGGCTATATGCAGGTGTCAATCCACTTTTTGCTTGTATATGTCTTTTTTAATCATTGTGGAGGTGGAGATTCTCTTCTACTTTCTGCAATGGCTAAAGCTCCTACCTGGATTCACTATTTTGATATTGGAAGGGGGGGGGGGGCAATTAGAGCAGCATCTAGTTATGTCCCCAAAACAAGGTGCAAAACAATGGCATCACCAGCTGGGACCTCCAGAGTATTCCAGCAGATCGCAACAAATTATGTCACCAATTGGTATCTGACTACAGGAGCTGCTTTGAGTCTTCTTGTGGACGGAAAAAGCAGGGTATAAATAAGCAACAACAACAACGTAGCCAGACACTACTCCAACACTACCACCCTCCCCACAACAGCCACTGAATGGCCACAGACGGAGGGACTGCATCAGATAAAAAGGGAGAAGAGAGATGTAGTGTGGCTCCACCTGCAGAACTATTATGCTTGTCTCTGTCTAACTGGATCTTGGTCATTGCCTGCAGTCTTCAATCCAATGAGACTACAGTTGTCAGTCTTGGGATCTGATTTAAAGATTAGTGGACAGGAAAATGTACCTTAAGCCACCAAGCACTCATGCTAGTCCATATATTTAAATATGTTGGAGCAGTAAGTCTTAAAGATCTGGCTACTACTTTTGAATTGTTGGCTCTGAATATTTTGATTGGCTTAAAGTAACAGGTCAGTTTTCAATAATGTTTTCATTAAAAAAATGTCTAATTAAAGAAATGTCTAATTAGAGATAGCATTTTAGCAGATTCTACTATTTTGCGATATCACTTATCCATCTGTAATATGAAAATGAAAACCTTGAGCTGTATAGTTACATAGAGTGTTTCGATAGTAAATATTGGCCTAGCCATTACAAATGTGGAAGGTCTAACCGTCCTTGTTCACCAGATGATTTGAGATGTTTATAACTGAACTGTTATGAATATAAAAATAACCCAATTCCGCAACTCTACACTAAGCTCCAGTTTTGATTAGATTTAAAAATCTGAATATAAAAGAGTGCAAAAACGTGATGTTTGGTAATATTATTGGAATTTCTAGACAACTAGACAGTGTTTCTCCAAACCTTTAAAAAATCCAGAACAAAACCTTTCAATCTGAGACACGACTGCCTCAAATTTTGGCAGGATATAAAACTTCTTTGCAGCCAAGATATAAACCCCTGTAAAAAGGGGGTTTACAATGGATATGCTTCCATATATTTTGTTATTGCAATACTTATGTTTTCTATTATAGTACAAATATACATATTACCTGTTTTCTCAGGAATATCACCTAGAGAACATTCTTTATTTTACAAAAAAACACACACCAATATTAAAAGGTTGAACTTGTATCTTGCACCTTTCCCATCAAGAGTATGATTCTGCTTATTTCTAAAAGTTACAACGAGCAAAACTATTACTACAGCTTATATTCAGAATACATTCAAGACAGGGAAGAAATTACTACCACTGAGAACATACTAATTATATTATACTGGAACAGCAGCAGGTGAAGGAGATTGAACACTTCCAGTTCACTCAGTATTTTACACTAGAGCCCAGATGCTAGAAAAAGGCCTGCACAACCTGTGACCCTCCAGGTGTTTTGGACTTCAGCTCCCAGAATGTCTGACCACTGGACAGGCTGGCTAGGGCTTCTGGGAGTTTGAGGCCTAATCATCTGGAGGTCCATAGGTTGAAGAGACCTGCTTTAGAGCCCCTGGCTTGGATTGGTCAAACACGCTGAGCACATCAGCAAATCAGTATCACGCTTGGGCTATACTGCAAGGCAGGGATGGGCAACATGCAGGCCACATGCACACCTTTCCTAGCTGCCCCCTTTCCCAATTTGCCTTAAATGCTAGTAGAAGTGTGCTGCCAGAGTTGGTGCTCCCCAAACACCACGGAAGAAAGAAACAAAGAGCAATCTCCTCTTGCTTTTCTGGAAGGGAAGGAGGCAGCCCGCTTTTGGGATCCAGAGAGGCTCTGGCACTCTCCTGTATCATAGAAAGACCCACTGCAGCAAGCATCCATTTCAGAGGCAGTACAACAGCAGCAGAGGGAAACTTGGCAGCAGCTTAAATTATTATTTCAGCAGCAAGAATGCAATTTCCCAGTGGGAAGTTTGCCCTCCCATCTATAAGGCATTAAGAGCCTTCATCTCTTTTGCACACAGCAACACGGACTTGTGTACCCCTACACTGTGAAATATAAAGTTAGTTGGTAGCAAACGCCAACATCGTTTAACAACAATTTTGACATTATCCTTGAAAACGCATACCAGAATAAAAATAAAAGGCTTCCTTTGTACACTGCACACATACAAAAAGGCAACAGTCTAACTGTTGTTTTCTTCCAGTGCAAACAAGTTTATTGGCCGACCTTCTGCATAGCCCGATTTCTGACCATTTCTTTTTTTGCCAACTAAATGGAGTGGCGATATTAGCGACCTAATGCAAATGTAGGCTGTCAAGTAGAACAAAGGAGAGGAGGGGAAAAAGACATTCGGGTTTCATCAACAGGTTCTCTCAGGACCGCATGACGACAGAGCAGAGAGAAAGGCACAAGGCTCAGACCTCATTGATAGTCCTCTCAGAAGGGCAGTACTCTGAGGTGCCTGGAGACGCCATGTAGAACGACTGGGTCTTCCTTTTTAACCTGGCTCGCTTGTTGGCCAGGGAGAGGCTGCGGCGGCTGGAATTAATGATCTCTGAAATGAACTTTTTGCAGTCCACACACACTTCCATTGTGCTCCAGTCCTCCATCAGTTCCTTTGGAAACAGGGCTTCTTCATCTGACTTATCTACAGACTTGGACTTTGTGGACAGTCTAAAAACAAATATACAATTATTTCCTTATTAGTGTCAATAGTACATTTTTTCCAGCTCCTATAGATCAGGGGGTTTTCTTGTGATCAATTATGGTAAACAGAAAACACAATTTAGTGGCAAAAAAAGCCTGGCACCTATGAGGGTATTACTGTCTTAGAGAGGATTTGCAGTCAAAAAAGATCAAAACAAAAAGAGTACTTTGCAAAATAGATTCAGAAATGTTTTCCAGCATTGTATTTTAACAGTGAAAAAAGTTTAAAATGATTTTTTAGAAAGGGAAAACATATTGCCCTATAGAGGTTGTTGGGCCGTAGATCCCATCAGCACTAGCCAATGGTAAGGGATAATGGGACTCAAGAGTTCAGCAATATCTAGAACACTGCTCATTCTCATCCAGGCTCCAACACAACACACGTTGAAACAATTTTACAGAAATACCTGTCCCACCCACAAGAGTTCTCAGCACCCTAAAGACAAGCAAATGTATTATAATACCATTTTCCACAGGCAAGAATTGACATGTAGATGAAAAAAGTATTTCTCTAAATTATTTTAAGAAAAAATACAAAATTATTTAGCAGATGGCTGTAACTATAGTGTAAGTAAAATACACTTTCAAAATAAAATTTCATCCAGACCGTATTGCTATTATAGACCAAGACCCCAAGATAGACATATTTCTACAAATGCCTTTTTAAGTACTCAAAGCTTTTTAGTTTGCTTATTTCTACTCAGAGAGTCAAATATTTGTGCTTTATGACATGCCATGCCTGAGAGTCCAATCATTCCTCAAGAAATGCTGACATGTATTACTGGAAAGAGCACAATGAAATGCCCCTGCGGATTTCCACAGGCAACTTGGTATCTGCCTATCAGTCTGATGGAAGACAGATAACAAATTTCTAAAATATACTTCTAAAAATGTAATATAAACCACAGAACACAGACAATGAATAGCAACCAGTTAATAAACATTTCTCCTGATCTTAAACAGTATGATATCTTACCTTGGAAGGCCCCTCAAGGACCTATGATGACTGGTAGAAGGTTTATCAGGTCTCATAAAGCTCTCTCCTCTTTGTAAAGCAGATGGGCCCAGAGAAAAGATAGGAAGAGTGGAATATGGCTTTGATGGCAGACGCATCTGTCACAAGTGCAACAGAAAAAGAAAATATTATTGCCCTGAGACTATGGTCTTTGAAAAAAAAAATATTCCCATCCTATTCCAAATACTAATCAACTAGATAAGTGAAAAGAAGACCTAGCAAAGTCCTACAGCTATTTAATAATAATTATAATAAATCAGGAAAATAAGAATATTATTGTGTATATATGAGAAGTATCATATTTGAAATACGTAAGATATTTAGTATTTGTCACACATACTCTGTGTGTACACACACACACACTTGAACACACACAGTCATACACACACACACCGAGTCAAATAAATGTATACAGAGAAAGAGAATTCAAAGTAGATTGCAGGGAAATTCTTTCAGTTTTATTTCTTATTGTGTCTGGATGGAAGCCAGAAAGCAGCCATTGAATTACACCACCAATTTTAAGATGTGAAATGGTTTACAAGTTTCTAAACTTACCTTTTTACAACACTGTGAGCATACAGGCCTGTAAAGGTAAAATGAAATATATGGCTTACTCAGCTGAAAGTAATGTCACAAACATAGGACAACAATGAGTGTATTTTCAAAAGCTTACTGTATTTTTCTTGTAAATTTATTTTAAGAGCTATGTTCTATTCTTTAATTTTGTTTGCTGTGGAATCTTTAAGTGCCACAACTGAGGAGATGTGTCAGAGAAATGACTTTAATTGGGACACAAAGGATCCTGTGAACATCAATTGGACCTTGCTCAATTTCCTGTTTTGACTTGTTGTGCGGCACCACAGCCTGCTCCAGAGGATTGTTTGGACAGAAAGGTACAGAACATCAGAAGGTATGATGAGAAAGTTCTGACAAATATTCTTCAATCAAGAACTTCTGAGCAATATCCTTCAATCAAGACTCCCAAATGGACTTGAGAAAAAGAACGGCATTTTCTCTCTCTTCAAACTGAGAATACTGCCCCGCCCCCTTTAAGACTCTGCCTTAGCACTCTTTTCAATCATCCTAGGAGTGCAGATGACAGCTTTTAAATAGGTCTTACAAGAAACATGCAGAAACATTAACCTTGAGTGCAATATAGCTGTCAGTTAATAATATTTACAGCTTTTTAATATTAGAGTACTTATATTCAGTCTGCCCAGCAGACTGAAAATTGCTAAGTCATTTCCTCCTCTTCAGAAAATAATTATGATACATTTTAATTTGCAGAACTTTGCCAGCTACAGTTCACAAAAGCTGAAATAAAACTGTTATGAGCTCTTTGTCTTTGCTGAAATATACAACTACGGCTGCCATTGGACATCTGAGAAACTTGCAAAATCATGGAAGTTGAGATATGTTATCTACCTACTCTTATTTTTGTATTCCATAATGCACCTGATCAGCTGCAACAAAAAATTCTGTGTCTTAAGTCTAGAAAAATAAAAAAGTGTTCTATTCAAATTCTCATTTGTTCCCTTCCACAAATGACCACTTTTTCCCAATTACATAAGAAACATGTTAAAAATACAATAAATAATTACTTGTCCATCCAGCATTCTGCACCTACAACTTCACTATATGTATTGGTTCCCCATGACAATCAACAGCTTACCTTTTACAAAACTGACAAGTATAGGACCAGGTGAAGAAAGAAAACCTTCGAATTCGGCAACAAAAACAAAGCTACAAAAATTGACAAGAGCACATAACGTTAGGATGTTTTCTGGAAATCAATTGATATTTACCTATATAGGAATAGCAGAAGATATAAAATGTCTAAAACGGAGATAAAACTACTATTTTTGGTGATTTAATTGATGCAATTAACTTTGTGAAGAGGGGCAAAAAGGTAAAGATAAAGGTTTCCCCTTGACATTAACTCTAATTATGTCTGACTTTGGGGGGTGGTGCTCATCTCCATTTCTAAACCAAAGAGCCAGTGTTGTCTGTAGACACCTCCTAGGTCATGTGGCCAGCATGACTGCATGGAACGCCGTACCTATTGATTTTTTCGAACTGCTAACAGTGGGAACTCACCCCACTCTCTGGATTTGAACTGCCAACCTTTCAGTCAGCAAGTTCAGCAGCTCAGCGGTGAAAAGGGGTAGTATTCACAAACTATTAATGAACTGCTTTACAATCCTTTGCTAATTCAAGTGCTTTCTTCCAGATAAATGGGAAATATATTTAAATGGTTCCACGGATGTTTCTTCCACAGAATGTTCCTCATTCTTGCAGCATTTCTAAATACAGAACTTGAAAATCTTTTTTTTTTTTGGGGGGGGGGGGACAGCAGGGGAAAGAGGAAAAATTCTGCTTGTGTTTCATTGGAGTTCACCATGTGTAATCAACAGCACTGTCCTAAAGCCATTCTTTCTCAGAAGTAAACCCAATTGGGTTCAATTGGTTGAATACAGACTTGTGTTTAACAGAATGCAACTGACTTTGGACAAAGTGAACTTCAAAGTAGAGGATGTAGTTTATTTTTCATTAGTGTACATCATCAATATGACCCCCTGTAAAAAGTAGCTGGGGAAGAGAGAATCAGCAAAAAAATCACTCTTCTCCAGCAGTAAACTTTCATGACTCATTTGCAGAGGAACATGTCTGATTTTTTAACACCTTTCTCACATTTGCATAGATTTGCGGTTTGTAGACCAGAATTACTTTCAATGCTGTTCTAGGAGACAAAGGCTTTTGTATACTGAACAGTCATTAAAGCAGTGGTTCTCAACCTGGGGTCCCCAGATGTAGGCCAAAACACCTGAGGACCCACAGGTTGAGAACATTAAAACCGAGGGAGAAAAAGGGAAAGCAGGTTGGCCACCACAACAGAAATCATATGAAAACCTGATGAAAGGAGGGGGAAAACATCCCTGGATACAGTTTGTTGGCTCTAGATCAGGGTGTCAAACCCATTTTCATCAAGGACCAGTCTTATGGTTGCCTTCAAAGGGCCACTGAATCCATAAACTCATGGATACAAAAGACAAACAATAATCTTTTTACATAGTGATCAGTGCTATTTAGTTTTTACTAAATTTGGGTCCCCAGATGTTACTGAGTAGGAACTCCCATCCCTTCTGATTATCTGGGGATAATGGGAATGAAACCCAACAGCACTTGTGGCTCTGAGATTGGGGACAGTAAAGGGAATTTTCAAGTCAGACAACATATCCACAGCCCTTGTATCTAAATACAAATCCTGACGAAACAAAACGAACTGTAGCCTCTCAGATGTTAATGTATCACAACTCATATCTTCTCTGATATCTAATATTGAGGAATACAGGAATTGTAGTCCAGTATCTGGAAGGCCACATAAAGGACACGGTGGGTGGATTTGGCTCGCAGGCCATGACTTCGACACATTTGCTCTAGATGATTACTGTTTGTGTTTACTTGTGCAGGACCTGCTTTCATATTGTGAATTTTGGATAAAAACCTGACTGAAACATGTTCAACTGTTCTTTTTTGTGGGGCAGGAACCTGTCTCAATTATGTCCATTTTATTTCTACTTTTCGTACCAGAGTTTCTGTTAAATGCCAAGGAACCCATTTGCTAAGAATGTCTGTAGTCAAATGAATTTCACCAATTTTCGGGAGCAGAACATTAGAAAATGAACAGAATTTAGATGTACCTTTCCCTTCTTTAGGGCAGTATAGACATCTTTATACTGCTGGTACTTCTCTAGCTCTGCCTTCACCAATACTTGACGAATATGCATTACTTCTTCCACTGTGAGAGCCAGGCATTCCACTGGGTAGCAAAACTCCTCCTGAAAACCAACATCCTCTTATTAATATGCACCTCACAACACCACCCAGCCACCAGTTCAGAAAGCCAGCCACCTGGTTAGTCAGAAAGTTCACCACCTGAAACTGAAAGAGCATTTTCGGATCCATAGGCATCACGAGTTTCAAGATGGCCAGGAGTTTTAATATGCAGTCATTTGTCAAGCCAATTGAATGAACATCATATTATATAAGTGATTTGATTCAGAAAGACACTAAAGTGTCACCTAACCCTGAAAACACAGGTGATTATTTTCAGTGGAAGTACTTTGCCACTTCGTGATGTCTAGAGCCAGTTGATAAATAGTTAGTAGCCCAATCCAAGATAAATCTTTATTCTGTGGTACCACATATGGGTGCAATATAGTTATAAATATTTAGTAAGATTACTGTCACACAGAGATTTTATTTACATAGAGCTTTCATGACATTTAAAATTATAGCACAACTATTAATCCAACAATAAGACTTTTGTGGCATAAATTAATATGTACAATATTAAACCTCCTTAATATTAGACCATCAATACTGCTAGTACCACGGAATAAAAATACACTTCCAAATCATCATTATTGATTGTACAGGTCTAACTAAAAAACAGAAAATCTTATAGCTATCTTGCCATGAATGATAAACTATGGTAACCAATTATATTTGGTGGAGGCAGGGTTTTACTTTAAGTTCAAGTACAATTTATTAGCTCTCAGGAAAAACAGAGGGAAATCTCATTGTAAATGTGTGCACAATTCTGCAAAATTTAATATGTATATTAAATGCAGATTACTTCACTTTACATGGCTTTAAGATTATTCTGTCTTTTAGTTAGAAAAAAAATAATTTACAATGCAGACCTTGTAAAAATGAGCATGTAAGAGCCACCACATTTTGAAAGATTACTGTCTTACCCATCCAGAAATGAAACACACAGAACTTCATCCTGCTTGAGATGCTCACAAAAACTACAATATGAGTTAAAGCTGCTTTTGCAACCACTAACATTTGCCCCGATTCAAGACTCCTTATCTTCTAGAGGACAAAAATCAGTATAGCCAGTTCTGAGAGATGCTGTGCTTTAAATCACAATCATACGCTTTCCTTTCTAACAAGTTTTAGAAAAGAAGAATATTTTCTAAAGTTTCCCTAGCTTCAGATGAAGAACTTGCTATTTTCTTGGGCTTGCAAAACACTTTTGATTTTTTTAAAATACTGTAGACCACCCCGATATCCAACGGGATCTCAAATTGCCATTCCAGGAATAAAAAGAACCCTTACATTCAAAAATGAGATAGCAATTCAGTGGAGGTTTTATTCTGAAGGAAATGAGGTAATTTCTGAAGATTTTCTTTCTCCTTCAGCTCCTTATCATACTTTCTCGAAGGGTTCCCTACCCTACAGAGGAAACTTTAAGTTGGGGGAGCAGCATTATAAATATGCAATTTCTTTTGGTTCCTTTCTTGAACATACTTGAGCATTATCCTCTACCCTATTAGGTGAGGGAAATGTGTTCTTACTTCCCCAACTCTCATTTAATATATAAAACAGATATAAATGAAAGAAGAAAAATGTACATCCTCAAATGTTAATTTGATTTTTAAAGGGATTACACAAGGGCAATCAAACTATAATGCAACATTAAATGAAAAAGCATGACTGGGTTCTTACAGGAATAAAATTTAAGATGTTAAAATAGATTCTATATTAGCTTAATGTTTTTATTACATCAAAATCAGAGATTAATCAAACTAAAGTTTATTAAAAGTAGCATTTTCCATCATCAATTCCATACACAATCCATACCAATCTCATGACTATTACAAATAACTGAGAGTACATTGTCCAAGACCTTTTCTCAGTTCTGTCATTCAACAAAATCCAGCAAGCACAGTAAACTATTGAAAAATAGTATTTTCTACATAGGAATCTGTCTTCAACTTTGGGGAGAGTTGTATAACATAAGCAAGATTAATTTAAAATGACTTAAAACTATAGGAAATATTTGGTTATATTTACCTAAAGCATAACACAACCTAAAGAGCAGTGAGGGACAATGCTGTGATCCTCAAGTGTGGTCCAAATGACAAGGGACCCCTTTGTTCAAGCAGGGCCAAGCTTTGAGTTTACTCTTGAAGTGCCTCCTTTTTTGACATCGACATGTTGAGTATGATTTTCTGCAAAGGAACCCTATGTATGTATATGGGCTCAATTTGATCGCAACACCCATGTGACCAGACCCATGCACATGAGCTAGAGTTCCTCTAAAAGTTACCATGTACAATGTGCAAATATTAAGGAGGAAGGAGAGGTGACATCGAGGCAAGGCTTTTTAAAAACACTGCTGTGCTTCAATGAAGAGATGTCCTATGTGCAAACTGTGTATGAACAGGTCTTAGGTTTTCATAGATTCACTTTGCATGTTCCTGTTTACTACTGGCCAGGATCCCAAACTGAAAGAATCACTCCTACAAGGCCAAAGCCACTACTGCCTTGCTTTTCTCCAAAAATGGGTTTCAAAGTATTTGTTATATTGGCAATAGGATTAGCTATTCAAAGGGAAGGGAAAGGACAAAAACAAGTGAGCATAAGACAGTCTGTGGATCCTGGCTATTTAATTCCCATTGTGCCATACTTTTACCCATATAAAAAACTAAGTAACACTCACTGTCATGTATTTAAAATAGTTGCCAAAACAGAGGGTGTATTCACTGAGATATATATGAAAGCTAAATAAAAGCACCACCAGGTCATTGCACAACTTCTGTAATGTGAGAGTTTCTCTTCAGGAGCAATTTCTGTTGCTTGTGTCTTGGGTTTCTTTCCAACCAAGAGTTAGATATACCAGGATTCTTCTTATATATGCACTTGTTTGTTTTTTATACATATTTAATGAGTTAAAATGTTATCTAGAATGACTGTGGAATGATGTATACATCAGGGACTTTAGTAAAATTGTTAAGACTCACAATCCCTGTTCTACACTCCAACTGAAGTCTACCTTAAAGGACATTTTTTATGAGAATGGATCTAAGCTTACTTAAGTTGGACCTGATGCAGTCCCCAAATGACCTTAAAACAGATATGGGTGTTTGCTGACCCTATCTCTTCTATACCATCACTGTGTAAAAACAGCAGGCTTGGATTGTTGCTGCAATTCTGACAGTTCACCGTGCACCAGGGATAATTCATCAAGCTATAGTGTTTTTACAGGAGGATGAGCTTTGAAGGTTATACACTAGCACTGCTAAACCAGTGTACTGGCATACTAGGAAGGGGTAAAAACATCACCTAATAAAATTAATATAGGAATATTTTTTAACACATTAAAGGTTTCAACGAAAAAAATCTCCAGGTATTCAGATATATTGAGGTTTCTCTTACATATCTTTAAATTATGAAGTCAGTTCTAAAACTCTGTGTTTGATTAAATCTTGTTTTATGGTTGGCATATGCATGAATACAAAACAATTCTCAATTGTCACAATCTCATCAAATTGAAACATGATCATTTCAGAAATAAATTAATTTTAATCATTAATATATATATATATATATATAGTGAACTGGCGTTCTACCAGTTTCTTTCTTCTGTGATCCCAAGGCTTCACAGATTAAATATTCTGAGAAGTCCTTCCTTATTTTCTTGTGATGTTGCATTTCAAGTTTGCTGCCCTTTCTCTTGGAATATTGATTAGGGAATCTACACATGCAAAGAAAATTCCTACAAGTACGGAAATCAATTTTAATCAGAATCTAGAAAGCTCTTCCAAACAAAACCATAACATTTCCCCCCCTAAAAACTAGAAAAGGCAAACATATCAAGGATCAGAGGGGTAGGGATGTCAATTAGGGGAAAAATACAACAACAATAACTACTATTGTGGGGAGAGGGGAAACATACAAGGCGTTAGGGGTAACTGTTGACTTCCATCTCTTCCATTTGGAATTTAGTCTCTTACTTCTTTCTTTTGCTTGTAATCCACTCGACTAAGGTTAATATAAATTTAAATAAACGTCTTTGGTTTTGTTTGGATACGTTAATAAAAATTATGGGGGGAAAAAGAATCTAACAAGCTCTTGTCACATCTTAGGACTCTCTCATTCACTAGAAGGAGAGAATGACTTACAGAAAGGTTTATAAAGCCAACAGTAGAAGGCAAACCTTTGAAGGCTTCCACTGGTTGTTAAATGTTCTTTCACAGAGATAATAGACAGTCCTCACCGCCCCAAACAGGGCTGCTTCAAAAGGATGGGAGCTAAGCTGAGAAGCTGTATGTATAGTTGCAAAAAGTGATTTGAGGGTCATCCTTGGAAAGAACCTGGAAATCTGAACAACAGACAGGAAGTAGAAAAGGGAATGCTGAACACAAACAACAGGCTTATCTGGCACTTTGGATAATGTAACTAGTTGCAGTAACAAGTTCTTCAAGATATAGGGAACCCTGTTCAATAAAGCGTAGCTAGCTTGGGACACAGAATACGTTCTCATCTAATCCTTTAAAAACAAGCAATGTCCTGTTCACTGGAAGTGAAGAATATTTGAATAAAGCCTTTCTCTCACCCTGGAAACAAACTACCATCATTAGAAAAGCAACAAACGAAGAATATGTTGTTAAATTTAAAGTAATACACTGAATGTGATTATGGAATGTTCTTCATATGCTGAGAGCTTGATCACAGAACTATACTGTTAAGCACATACGTTAAAATAGATAGATCTGTCTTTAGCAATATTAAATGACACTGACTCAAAATATGGTGACAGTTTGAAGGACCTGCTTCAATACTGTATAGATTTTCTTGAAAATGTGACTGCCATTTATTTCCCCTAGGAGGCACTACTGTACAACTGATATATATTTACTTGCTATAATCAGCCTTTCTGAGCTTATCCAGACAAGCCAATAGTTCTATTAAATGTTGGAATATTCTGCTTCTTGATACTTAGTGTTTCCTTGTAATGGCTGTTTCTGCTCCTGTGTTAAGATTTCATACACTCTCTTTTCTTGCTTGAGATGTGGCTTTCTGTGATGTGGGTGGGATTTCCTTCCCTCCCCATGATTCCTTCCATAAACTCAATACTTCTCACTAATGTTTCATTCCCAGTATGGCCCTGCTTGGTCTGCACATTTATGTATACACATACATATAAAAATATAGTTATAGTTGAATAGCAGAAGTACCATATCAGTAACATGCTACACCACTTTAGTACTCGATTTGTAAAAAGTACAAAGAAAATAAAAGACCATACTGTGAATGTAGAGCAGATTAATTATTTAATATGTTAATTGGGAATGTAATGAGAGCTCAAACTGTGAAAGATTATTATGACAAATTATTATGTTGGCAAGCCTTGTTAATCTGTCATGTTTTATCTGCTTTTCATGGCTGTGGATTTTTTTGTGAAGTATTCTATTCACAGTTCTTGCTCCAATTTTACCTCAGTCTAAACTCAAGAACTGTAGTAATAATACATTTGTCAAATGACATCTTTCTCCCAGTGACCAATATCAAGCTACCATCCAAATTAATGTGACAGCAATGTCAAAAGGTAAGAATATGGTTTCTATCGATGTAAAAAAACCCAAAAACACAGGGAACTTCATAAATTTATAAACAAATCAAAGACTCAAGAGTGTCTTTAGATTATTTTTAAAAGAATTAGATTAATGGATTGCTTTGAGTTTTCTGGGCTGTATGGCCATGTTCCAGAAGCATTTTCTCCTGACGTTTTGTCCACATCCATGACAGGCATCCTCAAAGGTTAATTTTTTAAATGGCTAAGAAGATCCCCAAGTTCTGAACAGGATCAGAAAAAATGTATCATGTCCATCACAAATGTCAAAACATATATGGAATTCAGAATTATGACCCTCACATCTAACTGGAAAACTCCTGTCTCTGATTGAGCTCATTGGATTGGATTCTCTCAATCATACATTGAATGAACTCAGTCAGTGAAGTGCCAAACAATTACTCTCATAAGCTAATTCTTGGGAAATAATTCCTTTTGTGCTGTATTTAGCATATTACATTGACAAAGGAGCTTAAGGCTACTGAAATGCAATTTACTCAAGATCACAAGCTGTACTCAAGTTAAAATCATATGACAAAAAATATTTGATTTCTTCTTGGAGAGAAGTCTGTAACATGTACTATTTTATATGTTAACCTCAAGCACCTTGAAGAATTGGCTTCAAAATCATAGCCTCTTGAGCTGAAGAGATGAAGGTCTCTCTTTAACGTCTGTCAATGGCACTCTATTGACCTGAAGTGTTGGGAAGTACTCTTTCTCTCAAAACCTGAATTCTTTTACTCTCTCTCTCTCTCAATTCTAAGAAGCTCTTCAATGCCTTTTTGGCACAGAACAAAGGGACAAAAAAGTGACCTGCCAATTTCTTATGAAATTGCACGACATTCAAAGCACCATGCTGCGATATCCCCCCCCCCCATTATACTTATGTGCTGTCAGAAAACTACTTTCAATTAAAGCTAATTGACGGAATGTGCTTTACCGTCTTTTCAAGAAGAATCCTTTCTTGTACTCCGTGAATTCAATATTGTAATGTGATCATGTGCTGCTTGGAATTCTTTTTAACCAAACAAACTTTTGAAATGCAGGGAACATAAAAATAATAAATTTAAGTGTTATGAAAGCAAATATTGGTTTCATTATATGTTTATCATTTGTCTGTGAAAAGATCTTGTCATAAAGGTACAGTAATTTCATCAGTATATTTAATAAGAAATTAGTTGAACACAACATGTAAAATCTGAATTGGAAAGTTCAGAATTGTCTCCTTCCAGAGGTTCCATTCAGCTTAAGTCTTGATTCAAATTTTCATACAGTTTTAGGTTGTTATTGGGAGTTGGAATTTCATCACAGCAAACTTTTTAGGTTTTTCAATCCCCGTTGTTTGGAGTTGCTTTAATCTGTACCCTTAAACCAATGGTAAAAATAATCCGCCACGTTACTTACAAGTGATCTGGAACTCTGTTTTGTGGGGGGCAGGAACTGTCGTACATTGGTTGGGGTTTCCTTTTCAATAGAATGGCGTCTCTGAGGTTGCTGCCTCCTCTCCGGCTGCGGCGTGGAGGATATTGGCAAAAATTTGGGAGGCACTACAAATTTAATTAGCATTAGTTAGTTCCAGTTTATCTTCACTAATAGTGAGACATTTTCTTATAAGAATAAGATTAATAAAACAAAGAAATGAAGTACAGGTAACTCAATACTATTATTCTGGGGCAACTGAAAAAATGAAGTCTTGAGTATAATTTGGCATGCCATGGTAGCAGAGGTATCAGGCATGTTGTTAAGGTCCTCAATCCATCTCAACTGTCACTGCCCTGGCCTCAGAGGAGAGAAGAGGCAACTATAATTCTATCATACCTAGGCCCCATAAACAGACGAAAGGCTTTCCTCCATCCCAACTCCTTCCGAGAGACAGAACAGGCAGTATCTATTGGAATCAATCCCCTGCCATACTGCCATCTCCTTTTACTTTTGTGTTAGATGTTAAGCTTGATAATAATGAACTGTTTTGTTGTTCTTTTACTTATAAAGTGCTATGTAAAGCGATTGCACTATATACGCAAATACATAAATAAATATATGATGATGCTTATAGTGGTTGTAATAATAATAATAGTAATAATAATAATCTTAAACGTATTATTATGGTCATGAATTCTTCTTGTTAAATAAAGTTACATCACTACAGTGCAAGTCAAGTACACAGTTGTTACTCTAAAAAACATCCTATAAAAATACAGGTTTAAAATTCACTATGCTCTTTTATATAGACTCAGAAAAAATAGCTGGATGTTTTCCAAAATCTACATACTAAGGAGGCATATACTGTTATATACTATATACTGTTATATACTATAACAACTCTCTAAGTTATCTGTAGCACAGTGTTTATTTCTTTGCTCAGTATGCTTCTCAATACAAGCTAAAACCATAAGTAGTCTGTATTATCTCCTCATCACTTCTTATCAAGGAGGGATGAGCAGAGTTTGGTCCCTGAAGGAAGGAGTTTGCCATTGCCTTCCTTGGAGGCTGAGAGAGTATGACTTAGCCAAGATCAGCTTTGTCCTGCTCAGAACCTGCACACCTTATAATACAGTGGAATAGGCTGTCTCCTTCTTTGGAGATTGTTAAACAGAGGCTAAATGGCTATCTGTTGGGAGTGTTTTGTAATCTTTTCCAAAACTCTATGATTCTAAGAGCAGAGTTAGTTAGACTTCAGGTCCCATGAGACACAGTCAGAACAGACAGTGGTAAGAGATCCTGGGAGATGCAAGTTGAATAACATTGGAAGGGCAACAGGAATTTTAACGTGCTTCACGACCTTCCAGTAAAAACAACTAGCTTTTCCATTAGTCTGTTCTAGCCCTAATTCTCTGGTCATCTGAACCTCCATTTAAGTGCACAAGCCAGTTATCCCCCATCTGATCCACCTGCCTGACTTGGTTCATACTGTAATGATCAACACGATCTTTATTTTTTTCAGTGTCAAGACTCTTACCCTTTCTTCCAGATGTCATCTCTGGAAATGTATCTTCCATTTGTGAGGGAGAGATACTACTGCTACTGGCTGATTTGTGTACAGATTCTTCCTAGAAGTTAAGAACAACAATAAAGGTATTTTGAAATCCTGGTGATTTATTGCCCCCTCCAATTCTTAGAAAATGACAGAAAATCTAGTATCCAAATACAGTATATTGATCTAATTCTAATACCTGCAGTAATCCTAATTCTTTAATTATTTGCAAACTGACCAAGATCAGGATTTTTCAGTGTATATATCAGTAGCATATATGGATAATAAATATATTGCAATATGACAAAAACTCTCAAAGATGTCCGTAAGCCATGGAGGATATTTCAAATTCTCCCTCCTCCCCCACTATCACAGCTTGCATTGCTCGCCCTGTTTTTAGAAGGAAGTGCTTTTTCTCTCTCTCTTTCTCAGTCTCCCTCATATTCTCATTCCCTCTCTCCTCCAGTTTCTGGCTGCCTGCTGTTCCTTCCTTTTTTCTCCCTGGCTGGCATAATTGCTTCCTGACAGTTTTGCAAATCAAAACAAAACACAGTGCTTCAAAAGCTGCAGCTCGGTTCTAATTTTAATTGAAGCAATCACCTCCAGAGTTGGAGTGACAGCAATCCCAACTAGTAATGTACTGCTATTGGCATGCAGGGCCTATTATTATTATTATTATTATTATTATTATTATTATTATTATTATTATTAGTTATTTAAAATATTTATAATTAATTTTGTTGTGTCTTTCTCAACTATACAATTCTATGCTTACTATCAAAGTCTTGCAAAAGGCGTCTTGCAGCACAATAAATATAAGCAGAAATTGGAAGAAACAATACAATAACATATGGTCAGAAATATTAAAGCAATTTTTGGAATGGCAAGAGGTGGGAAACCTCACTTCACTGGCACCTTTGTTGTCTGTCTAACTGCAAGGGTGATTTCCAGGGAAATCATCAACTAAAATCACGTGCAACTATACCCTTGGGCAATGCATTACTTCTCTTGTTAGTGCACTGCATGTGCGGCCTCTTATGTTTAAGTGCTGTGAACTGCTGTAAGGCCCTAGATTTCCATTGCTAATAATACCACTGTCTTTAGCAAGTGCTAGGAGGGTAGTAGATGTGGTGATTTTCCAATAAGGACTCAGAGGGACATCCCTCTACCCAATCTGTTTTAAAAATCAAAAATATCTTCCAATTTCTCGTAGGGCAAGAAAGTGATTTTTTTTAGCAATGTGAACTTCTTGGCGGTTGCTATCAGTCTCTGGAAATCCCATCCTGGAGAGGTAAAACTGGTCCCCTCCTTGTTCTCCTTCTGCAGGTTTTGTTTTGGCAAATCTTTGAAGAGTGACCGACTACTCAAGGGGAGTGGGACATGCATCATGTGCTGTACACTGAGTTTTTGCTATCCACATGGATTTGATTCTAGGACACCTCCCTCCGAAGATACAAAAATGTGTAGCTGTTGATGTACAGTGAGGTAGTATAATTGTGTCATTTACATAAAATGGCAAAAACCCCACAAAATTTCTTTTTGGATTTTTTTCTGGGATGGGGAAAGAATATTTTCAAGCCATGGCTTGTTGCATTTGTGGATACAAAATATTGTTTGTTTTCAATGGCTATATTTTTAATTTCATTGGTAATTTAATCAATATGAACATTTTTAGCAAAGGTTTTGGGGGGCTCTTGAAGGTCTCAAAAAGATGTAGAGATTGGTCCTCAAGCCATCTGCATGACACACTTGGCTCACATTCAGAGCTCCAGAGGGATGCAGGTGTCCCTTTTTTAGTGCTGTGGGTATCGCTATTTCTTTATCTCCTAAGTAGTTCCCAAAGCTCTACTGTCAACTTACTATGAAGCTCTGAAGCATAGGTCTCTTCCGTTTTCCAGGAAAATGTATTTTATCTACAAAAAAATGTATTTTATCTACTCCTGGTTCATACAACTTCTTTGCTTGATGCTGTCTCTGTAAAATTATCTCTGGTGGTGGACATGTATCCTTCAGGTCACCAATTCAAGGCCTAACTTCTGCACGAAACCTGACATCGTTTCAGTGCAGTGCTTGTTTTTCAAACACAGAACTGGCACTGGATTATTTATCTCAAATAACTGACTGGGATGAATATTATTGCATTTTTCCAAAATTGATTCATTATTTGTATTATTTAGGAAGGGGAAACAAAATATTTTCAAGTTAATCAATAAGCAGTAGTAAAATAGATGAAAACGACAAGAAGTATATATAGTGAAAAGAGAGGAATATGCTACTTGACACCTTACCTCTGAATCTGAGGTATCCAGTTCGGCCAAAGTGGGAGCTTTCAAAAGTCTCCGTTGTACTGTCATCATAGTAGTACCATTCATCTTTGATTCAGATGCCAAGCTGCCATTTACTACACAGCTTTCTGGCATTTTTTTCTTGGCCTCTGGTGTCGATACATCTAGGGGTAAAAGCAGAAATGCTTGTGATGGAAGAGACTGGTCATTATCCACTTAATTTTTTTTCTAGATGATATAGATTCCACAATTGTAACACTTATATCTTGTTTAGAAAGTACAGACACTGGAGTGTAATACAGATGTGATAATGACAGCAGGACCATTATTTAAACTGAAGTGGTGAACATGTGGCTTTCATAAAAGTATTTAATTCAAACTATGTAATTGTACTTCTAGCTGACAGCGACCTCATCTACACTGCCATATAGTGCAGTTTGAACTGCACTCTATGGTCCGTGTAGACTCATATAATGCAGACTCAATTTCATTGAACTGGGTTATATGAGTCTACACTGCCATATAATCCAGTTCAATCAGCATTATAAAAGTATAGATGGGCCAACGTTAAATTGGGGAAAAAAACAGGAGTAAATTTAAACTATTATGGCAGATTAACTTTCTTGATCCTTTTCTGATTTACCGCTGAAGTGTACAATTCTGATTCTTCTTCCCTAGAGAGAACTACGAGGCCCAGCTGTGTTTTCTTCCAGATAGTAAACAAACAAAAAGGTTTATCTTTTTTTAAAAAAAATCTTGCCTAAACATGTACATCTCTTTATTTTTCCTTGTATGAATGAATACAGATGGTTTCTTTAGTTAGTGAGTTTTTGTACATTTTTGGATGATTTTTCACATTTGAGGACATTTCTATTTTTAAAATCACTTACAAAAACACCATTATTTGCACTAAACATGTTTTGTTTTCATGATTATTGGGGTGTTCCCCATGTCTGCTGGGAGAATGATAATTTCTGGATCTGAATTGAGGTTCTCTGAATTAAAAATAGAAATACAAAAAACTAAAACAGGACCCAACCAACAAAATTACCAAAAAAATCAACACTTTGATCAAGAACTCAATTAATCTTAACATACGCCAACATCTACGCAAATTGGAAGCCCTCCCTCATAGGCTTTATGGACACCCAAAAATCCATAAGGACTCCACTCTGCTCAGACCCACCATGAGCGCCATTAGATCTCCCACATACGATTTGGCAAAATTTCTGGTTGCACAACTACAAACCCATATTGAGCGCACAACATGCTACATTAAGGACACAGCCCACTTCATAGAAAAATAATCAACAATCTCAAACTCAACACCAATGATAAACTGATCAGCTTCAATGTGGTGTCTTTATTCACCAAGGTCCCTATAGCAGACACCACTGCACTCATTAACTGGAATTTTCCAGAAGATATCACAGCCCTGTTTCAACACCGCCTCACCACAAGCTACTTCCAATGGGACAATGAATTCTATGAACAAAAAGACAAAGTAGCCACGGGGAACCCTCTTAGCTCTATCATAGGAAATGTTTACATGAAACACTTTGAAAAAACAAGCCCTGGAAACAGCACCAAAAAGTCCACTATATGTTCGGATATGTGGATGAGACTTTCACCATTTGGAGCCATAAAGAAGAACGAAAGAAGTTCCTGGACAACATCAAGAACATCCACTCAAACATCTGATTTACCATGGAAAAAGAAAATGAAGGAAAACTACCATTTCTAGATGTCCGAATCATCCCTAAACCAAACCAACAACTGGGCCACACAAATTTCAAAAAACCTACGTACTAATACATACCTACATAAGTCACCCAGGTCAAAAAAAGAAGCACAATTAAAGCCCTGACAGACCGTGCAAATAGAATCAGCAAACCCCATCTCCTCCAAGGTGACTTGAACCACCTAAACTGAGCTCTACAGGCTACTGGGTATTCTACGACAGACATCAGAAGAGCTGCAAGACCAAGAACAAGCCACAAGAGTAAAGACAAAGATCCATCTAGAGGAAAAGTTTTCTTACCATACTTCAAGGGAACCACTGACCGCACAGGAAAGCTGATGAAGAAACACAACCTACAAACAATCTACAGATCCACCAAGAAAATTCAACAAATGCTACATTCAGCAAAGGATAAGTGAGAACCTCTAATCACTGCAGGAGTCTACCGTATACCGTGCACTATGCACATAGGGACAACCAAACGCAACACCCAGACACGAACATAGCAGAGCACTTGATGAACCAACCTGAACACAGAATCTTATTTGAGAACACAGACATTCTAGACCACTCTAACAACTATCATGTCAGACTACACAGAGAAGCCACTGAAATCCATAAGAACGGGAAAAATTTCAACAGAAAGGAGGAAACCATGAAAATGAACAAAATCTGGTTACCAATATTAGAAAACTCCAGAATCAAGACAGTAAATAAAGAACACCGCTGAGAAATAGCAATCTCAAACTCAAAAAGAACTTCAGATAGTAAACAATCAAGTGCCAGTTAACATCTCCCAAACCCAGGTTACCTCTATGCAGATACTCTCACTGATTGACTTTGCAGCTTCACGGCTAGTCAATGCTATTCAAACTCACTAATATTAATATTATTAATAATAATTCAATAATAATAATAATAATAATAATATTTTATATTCCGCTGTATCTCCCCAAGGAGACCCAGGGTGGATTACAACACACTAAAAATACATGGAGGCAAACATTCAATGCCTCACTACAAAAGGCATTGTCTAGGCCTCTGTCTAGGCCTCCGCCCAGATAATGAAATAGTACCCAAAAATGTATAGATTGACCTTCCCAAGATAATTGTAACATTCACACTTGCTTCAACTAACAAGGGTCCTTTTTCCACCCTGGACATTCCACAGATATATATATATATATATATATATATACACACACTTGCTTCTTTGCCAACAAAACATCTAAAGATGGCAGCCACAGATGCTGGCGAAATGTCAGAAGATAATGTTACTGGAACATGGACATACAGCCCAAAAAACTCATACAACCCAGTGATACTGGCCATAAAAGCCTTCAACAACACACTAAAAATATTTTTGTGTTCTGCAGACTGTCTCCTGCATACACAAAACAGCTTCCTGTTGAATATATTTGCAAACTAGATCTACACTTATAACTTTTAGAATTAATGTTGTTGTCAATGAGCAAATGTAACCCTACCAGAAAAAAACCTAACTGTAAGGTTTCCAAGATGATACAGAGCCAGGTGCTAGGAAATTGCAGGGCTGGGGTATCTCCAGCTGCCTATCTCAATGTGATTGGAAGAGCACTCTAGTTGCTATTTCCAAGAACGCTGACCTGCAGCACCTCAAAAACATTTTGTTTGAGGCACTACTTGACTCAAGAGGCAGGTTTTGGGCTGGCGGTATCAGAAGTACAACAAGCAGAATCTTGGCCATTGTTTTGAAAGCAAAAACCAAAGTTTTTGATATAACATTTTGAAAAGCTTCGTGAAAACCAAAAACAATTAACAAAAATAGTTATTGTTCCAATAGTCCATTTTACCAGGGGAGGGGGTGGCTGAAGGAGGAAAACCATTTATCCAGTTTTCATTGGTTATGCTCTCTCCGCCCTCCCACTTCCCATGTCATAAAAAAGGGTTGTTGCGAGGAAGATAACATGGGGGTGATAATAACAACTCCCCCCCCCTAAAATGGATCATTCTTCTCTGTTTAGGCCTCCTTTTGGCCTCTGCCTGGATAATGGAACTGTACTCCCCCGGGTATCAAGACATCCTATTTCATTGGGGACAACAAAATGGGTGATATTTTAATTTTATGGTAGTCATATTTTATAGCAGTGTTTCTCAATTTGTGGGTCCCCGGGTGTTTTAGCCTACAACTCCCAGAAATCCCAGCCAGTTTACCAGCTGTTAGGATTTCTGGGAGTTGAAGGGCAAAACATCTCGGGCCCCACAGGTTGAGAACCACTGTTTTATATCCTGTTACTAATATATGTTATTGATACGGTTCAATACTTATTGAACAAGGCTAGTCTGAGTTTCTGTTTCATTCAAAAACAATAATTCAGAAAACTTAAGCCACAATATTTGGGAGGAGAGCCTGCTGTCCTAAAAAGTTTTAAAGTATGTCATTATCAATTAAATTCAAAATTTCTACCTTGGCATCCTTTTGAGTGACAGGCTTTCCAAAAAGCTTAAGTGATAAATTTAAAATTAAAATGGAAGAAAAGCAATGTTTTCATTTTTACACTTAATATCTTTACAAGGAAACGTTATTTTTATTTTATTATGTGAACTTAATGTTATTCCAGATTTACAGAGCCACTTCTCTTTCTCCGCAGTAGAGAAATGGGAGATAAATTAATTTGCTTTGGAGGGGAGGGATGTCTGGAAGCTAGGATTTTTCAAAACATTAATTCTTCTCTGGGTTTGATGCATCCCATGTTATCTCTTAAAACACACATAGGAATAAGCTACATAGAGCAAAAAGTTTTTGATATGCAAAGCCTTATTACAAGATTTTATTTGATTAGTAAAAACTGGGTCCTCTAAAATAGTTTTAAAAATGATACAGCTAAAATAATCACATTTGCAATCAACTGAATTACTATTCAAAATATAGAGCAGACTGGAACATGTTAAGAATTGATGTGATCTTGTTTTTTTGGATAAGTATGTTTTAAAAGATTATTTGGGTCATATACTTATAAGCAGTTTTGTAGTAAAACCTGCTTTTTATTTAGGTATATTTAATTGGCCACATTACTTTTATGCATATTTCACAATTTTAGTTGTGTCTTGTGGCAGAAGACCATAATATTTTCTTAGAAATAAAGAAAAGGAAATACTGAATCAACAGACTAACTGTTGAAAAATATTCAATAAAAAGATGTATTTTGCTGTCTATTTCTTCAGTCGTTTTCGAGTCTTTGTGACCTCATGGACCAGCCCACGCCAGAGCTCCCTGTTGGTCGCTGCCACCTCCAGTGCCTTCAAGGTTAAGTCAAGTCACTTCCAGGATAACATCCATCCATCTTGCCCTTGATCAGACCCTCTTCCTTTCTCCTTCCATTTTCCCCATGTATGCATTTCTATATTTACAGCAAATATAGAAAACCAACTATGTCCTCATTT